TCCTTGTGTATAATGGAATTGTTGCCACACACTTAAGAATATTGATAGTGACTGTAAAATATGCTATGTATTTCTGACACTTGGTGGGCTTCCTTCACTAAAGGTGACTTTGTTTACTATGGTCACAGCACATCATGTATATTGAAGTGGCAGTAAGTACATGTGAGGACCCCTTAAAAGATTAGTATGGGTGCAACTGATCCCATCAAAATGACCTGGAAAATTTGGATCACCAAGATTGCCCTGCAGTTGTGAAACCAACATAGTGTACAAATTGAGCTAGCACTAAGGAATACTAGGTTGTTGAAAATTAACTCTCCCAGGAATAAAGACTTCCTGTAATCTATTGTGTTAATATTTACTTGGGAGTAAGAATCTACATATTTAAGAATTTTGCCATGATAACAGTTTCGAAAAAGTCCTCTGTAACTATGGCTTGGATCAAGTTTCATTGAAACTAGAATTTAGTAGAATTCATTTGAATCTAGTAGCACTCTTTGCTTACCATCTTGGCTTTTCCCAGAATAGAAGACAGAATAGGAGGATGGCTGGAGTGTTCATTCTTCAAATTGCTTCATTTCTTTGTACAATATTTAATTATGAATCACAAATTAGGTAGGCTTGGTTCTTGCACCTACTTGACTGAACAATGTGCGGTTCCACATATCTTAAAATGACATGGCACATAAACATGTTTCATGGGCATGCCTGGTATTTAAGGAGAAATTCTTTAACAGAACCGTTGCCTAATCGTTTAAGATTCAAAAACAAGATAAACAAATGGGGAGCAGCTCAAAAGATACATTTATTCTTCAGACCTGTGTGGAGAAATTCTTCCAGCTATCTACAAACTATCTTCAGGATTAATCTTCAAATTACCCACTGTCAACATGAAGGCAATGTCAACAATTTAATCCTTTTATCATTACATGTAGATCCTCAGTCATCAACCATGAAATTTTCTCTATCATGAAGGATAGGCGGACTTTTAATTCTATAATCGTTGTGTGCCATAATTTCCAAAACAACAATTAAAACAATTCTTACATACTGGATTATGTGGTCAGTGTAGACTCGTATAGTGCAGACTTAACTCCATTGGACTGAATTATATGAGTCTACACTGCCATATAATCCAGTTCAATACCGTTAATCTGTATTCTGAAACTGGATTATATAGCAGTTTAGAAAGAACCTAATGCTGCTCAATAATGCACTTTGACAATTAGAGTGTCATATTCCACCACCATCACCCACACACCACAACAAAAACATAAATTAATGCTTCAAAAGGGGAATTATACTTCTTTAACCATTCCTCAGCTGATTTCTTCAAGTGATTTTTTTTTACTATATAGCATGGTAGAACAGTAAACTGTTGCTTGTTGGGAAAACAGGAGGGATGCTAAAACAGCAAATGCATTTTAAAAAATATTTAATTGGCCATTTTCTATGAGGAATTCTGTTGAATTCTTTCTGATGTAAACACATTTGTTCTGGCTTTCAAATTCTTTTGCCAAAATACCTATTGTACATTATCCAGAGTTAAATACTTTTCTGATGCTTTGTAGCCATAATTACTAGGTTTTACAGACATATCAGACTAATTTGCTGCTTTTAAAAAATCACTCTTGTAGTTCCAAATCATTTTGTGATGAGAACAATCCAGTTATGCTGAAATCCACATTTACATCATACTAATCCTACATGATCACTAAATGCTTACACAACTACGTATATAAAAGTGAAACAACAAGTGCGTGTTGGTTTATGGAATATGAGTAAATAAAGAAAAAACATGCAACAATCCTTCCTATTCTTCATTTCTTCCTTTTCCAGCTTCTAAAGTAATTAGTGTATTGCACATGAAGTTAAATCATGTGAGAATACACAGCCTTTGGTACTTCTTATATCTGATCCTTAACAGAAAAAAAAACCAGAAGAAACTAACTAAATAAAGAAACTAAAAACGATTCACTAATCTCTTATAAACCAGTAATAAGCATTTGGTTTGGCATACAACTGGCATGCTAGCAATTAAGCATTTATATGTGCACTAGGTCACTGTTTGTTAAACTGTTGGTCCTGGCTGCAAATGGGGTCATGAAAAATTTGGTGACAGTAAAAGGTTTTGGAACACCACCCATTTATGAAAATTAGGTGTGCTATAATCATTCCATTGTGGTGATGTACAAATTGAAGTTGTACTTCTATAATTCAGGGTTTCCCAAATTGCTCAGGGTATCCCAAACATTTTACAGAAATCCACTCATGCTATAGAGTGTGTGAAATGTTTGGGAAATAAAAAGACTTCTTGCAAAGAGTCCTATGGAGGTGTCTTCTGAGAGCTAATTCAGCCCTATAGCCATCCACAGTTGCCCCCTTCATAATCTTATAGTTGATTCATAATCTTATAGTGCTGGGGTCCGGCTCCCAAAAGTAATCTGATCTACCCTCTTACAAGTGCTACTAAAGCATTACTGAGAGGTGGTCATTCAACCTCTACTTAAAATTCTCCAAGGAAAGAGAGGCCAACAGTTTCTGAAGGGGTTGTCTGCTTTGAATTGCTGTGCATGATCCAGTCAGAAAAAGATTGCATTGAACATTGAGATGTGATGCTTCAGCAGTTTCTCTCAAATTAAAAAAAATCACTTTAGTTATGTAATCACAGTTTATTTATAATTTATCGTGTCAGAAGCAAATTGAGAATACAGTTATAATGTATAAAAAAACACAAACCAAGTTAAAAACTTGATATTATGCTAAATTTCCTTTGACCAGAAGTCAGCCACTTTAAGTGCCTCTGTAAACATAATGGTAGCATGATCAATCAACACAGAAGCAGACTTCAGCTTGGCCAAACAGCATTCGATCATTAATCTTTAAGCTAGTCTGTTACAATAATCCTGCTGCAGAAACTATATTGTATAGACTTCCAGGGCCAAATTTGACTAGAATTACTTGTCTTCAAATTAAAAACATGTACATTTGGATTAAAACTGAACACTTTTTATCACTGTAATATTTTTCTGATAGAGATGTTTCTGATGTTAACTTTGAATTGAAGAGCATTATGAAGAGCACTGTAGTAAAAAAAAAAAACACTCTCCACCTGTTCAAATTGGTTTTTCTTATAAAATGTTAGATAATCCTAAATCTCACCTATGTAGTTTGTTTCTTAGGAAAAGCTGTCCCAATGGCCATAGTGACCGTTGCTTCTTGACAGTGACACAGACACAACTAGTTCATTGCATATAATATGTTCAGAAATTAGAGCAAAGCTTATAAGGAGTGAGTTAGCATCCATAGTTAATTGTGTATCAATGTGGAAATTATTGATAAATGGCAATCTTTATTATATTATTCTCTTCATCCTGCAAGTCAAAAATAAGTTTTCTCAAAAAAGTATTCTTACCTCAGATTTTCAATCAGCTGCATTCTTGTGGAACAAAGAATCTGCCTTCTGCTAAAGACTCATTCTGAAATAAAGGCTTGACTATTACATTTTGAAAGAAAGTTTTTTTCTGATTTTGTTCAAAGGCAAACATTATCTGGTCTAAGCCAGGTTAGCAGTGAAATTTCTTCTCTAGGTTACTATCTCACTCTGTTTTCAAAAGATCTCAGAGCAACATAAGGTAAGTCAATATTACAGGTTAAAACAATTTAAAATAGTAAAAAAATCTAAATAGACTAAAAGGATATTACACACAATAGGTTTGAAGGAATAGAATGATTTTAACATGCTTAAAGTTCCCAAAGAGATTAAGAAATAGCCACACTTTTCCTAGGTGCCTAAATAAAACCATCATTGGTTCCAATTAGACAGGGACATGTAGGGAGAAGTGCTTTCTCAGCTATCAAGATTCCAAGTCATTCAGATCCTCTACCTGAAAAATGCTCAGCATTGGTGTAGAATGTGGTATGCAAGTATTACAAAATAAATAAACAATAAATGAACTTTATTTATATAATGTCCTATCTCCCTGAAGGGACTCAGGATGGTGAACAACATAGTCAGCAATCAATGCCATACAAAAGAAAAACATATAAACAAATAACCATCCCACCAAAAACCCTCGTAGATCCATATTTAAACCAAAAATAAGACTCATTATAACTTGTAAAATTTACAAAGATATGAATGGATTGGAGGGCCTACATAACCTTTATAGACCACTTACACACTGGGTTGCTGTGAGTTTTCCAGGCTGTATGGATACGTTTCAGAAGTATTCTCCCCTGATCTTTAACCTGCATCTGTGGCAGGCATGCTCAGAAGTTGTGAGGTCAGGAGAGAATGCTTCTGGAACATGGCCATAAGGCCCAGAAAACTCACAGATACCCAGTAATTCTGGCCATGAAAGTATTCGACGCCACTTACACACTGTTTTCCTAGAGGAAAGAAATGGAAAGAAAACACTTCTGAGATGGTGTGCAGTCCAACTATTAAATGTAAACCTTGCTCTCAGTCTCTCCCATCAACACTTCACTGCCAAACAGTCTCTTTCAGTTTGTTAGCAAGATGCCCGAAATCACATCCAAGATACAGATCAGAAAGCAGTAGTTGTCTTTGGATGTACACTCTCCTACAGATGGGCAGGGATCCATCCTTGTCAGTTTTGACTCATATATTCTCGAGTGCAGCAGGAAGTTCTGACACAGCATCAAGTGCCCTATTTTTAACTCTATAAAAACTAACAGGTTTTACAAAGCAATCATTTAAATTACAGCCTTGGTCAACTCCTTTGTTTTAATTGTGTTTGTGTACAGACACAACTAACAGTAAGGGCAGGAACAAGGAGACTGAGAATGATATGGACACTCCCAATTGTGCAGAGAGCTTTATAACATAATAGTCTCATAACTACCATAATGGTAAATGAGGTACAATGACTCTCATTATGAGGCTAAGAAAGAAAGATCTACCTCAAATACTGAAACAAATTATTTGTTTCTAATAAAAAATCTTTTTGAAATAAATCAGATTAGATTACTATTAGAAAAAATAAGATCAACAGAACCATGTTTTTAAGAAGCAGCTTGGATACCATCAAATTTATTATTTTGTTAATCTATTATTGTTTTGAGGCCTTTGTTTTGATGTTCTTTTCTGTTCAAAAGGATGTTTCTGGGCAGGTAGTTCTTGTTACAGGATCAGCCAATGGAATTGGAAGACAGATTGCACTGAATTTTGCACGCCTTGGCACAATTCTTGTTCTCTGGGACACTGATGAAGAAAACAACAAAGAAACCGCAGAGCTTGTCCTGGGCAATGGAGCTCTTGCTGTTTATACTTACAAGTGTGACTTGAGCAAGAAGGAAGAAATCTATGCAGTGGCAGATCAGGTAAATACTAGGATTCACTTTCTTGATGTTTTTGGAGAAAACTTACATAAAATGTAACTACTTTAACCAAAAATATATTTGTCAAATGGATGTGGGAAATAATCTTATTGTCTGCTGCATGGGGCTAGGAAAAAGAGTGTGCTTGGATTTAACCCATTTCAGACCGTGGTCACATGGCTGGACTCAGGGTTTGAAGATTATTTTATTCACTTCTCATTTTCAAATTAATATGGGAGCTATAATATCCAGCATATTATTGCTCAGTATCAGAACTTTATAAAAAGTTGTGATAGAACATTCAAGCCAGAAAATGATTAGCAACATGCATATGCTAAAGAAAAAATGAACATATAATGTATACATTAGAGTAAAAAGTAAAACAGGATTGCTAAACCACTTGCTGCATGTAATTATCTTAAGCAACCTTTTAAAAAAATCAAGCTGTGACTCCGTGGATGCAGAATCTACAGATATGTAGGATCAACTGTATCACTGATTTTACTGCCAAACATAGAAATTACTAGTATCCACTATATGCAAGCAATACATTTGAACAACTCTCAACCATTTTTTTTCAAGAAAATAACAATATTTACTAATAATATTGAAAAGAGTAGTTCTAGTCTTATGCAACAGAATTATATCTTATGTTTTGATAATCCTATGCAACAGAAATTCTAAGAAAATACAATCTAAACTGCATTAATAAACCTGAGTGCATATTTAGTCTGATAACTCAATTTATTTCCGTTTCATTGCAGGTGAAAAAAGAAGTAGGAGATGTAGATATTCTAATCAACAATGCAGGTATATTGAGTGGAAAGGATTTTATTGATCTTCCTGACTCTGATATGGAAAAAACACTAGAAATCAACACTAAAGCACATTTCCGGGTAATTATTTTCTTTTGTATCTTTAACTGATTTTTTTTCCCATGAAAAACATTTAGATCTTCCAAAATTATATTTGCTTTCAGGGTGACTTGTCCTATCTTTAAAGGTATTCTACAGACACCTCACTTCAGTGAATAAACAAACTTATTTACCACACTGAAACACAAAGCAGTAGTTTCTCAGCTCCACAGGTACTGAACACACCCTGGTGATATAGGTCTCCATGGCCACCTTCTAATGCAGTGGTTCTCAACCTGTGGGTCCCCAGGTGTTTTGGCCTACAACTCCGAGAAATTCCAGCCAGTTTACCAGCTGTTAGGATTTCTGGGAGTCAAAGGCCAAAACATCTGGGGACCCACAGGTTGAGAACTACTGTTCTAATGGCTCTACTTCCTCCTTGTATTTGAATCTGACTAGGTGCAACTCCTCTATCAGCCCCAGATCTATCTGGGCTGCAACTCATGGCTGTCCTAACCAGTCAGTTGGTTCAGCATTCAACTTGGAATGTAACTCCCATCAACCCCAGCCTGCCTACCAAAGGGGTAAGAATATTAAGAGATGCATTCAGACAAGTAGGCTGAGCTGTCTGGCTGCTTGAAAGAAGAACCACACCTTCTTTCATGGGTGTGAATCATTTAGCTCTCTGGGTGTGGTTGGACCACAACTGTCATCATCCTCTATCATATCCTCTAAGCCCACTGGTTTTTAAAGTTTGATCATGAAGAATATGTGTGCAATGTTCAAAAATGGGAAGGCCGGGAGGGGGGGTAAAAACAGAAAAATGGGGGGGGGACAGTTTTGTTCAGGTTTTTTCCAAAGCCATTTCATCCACAGAAAAATCTGGTGAAAGGTGTTTGGAAAATGTCCTTTTCAAATGATAAATAATTTAAAATTTTCTACACATTTTCAATTTTTCTGGGGGGGGGGGTGCCTTTGGAAAAAACCAGGAAAATGTTTTTTCCCCCCATTTTTTGGGGTTCTTCCCAGGCCTTCCAATTTCTAGCTATGTTTGGTTCAAATCCATGTGAGATTCACATGCCTGTCCAGATATGGGTGGACTACAACTCCCACCAATCTATGTCAACCACCCCCCCCCCAAAAAAAAATCCCTCCAGTATTTTAAGTTGATCATGATGGGTATATTTATCAAATTTGGTCCAGTTCCATCAAGTTATGTAGGAGCCTTTGTGGATCATACATACAAATATATTTACTAGACATATACCAAATATAAATATATTTACAGAATAAACTGTTATCAAGATCCTGAATCAACACAACTGATTGTCATAATTTATTATATCAGCTTTCATCATAATGTGTGACCCACTGCTTTGCAGAATGGAACAGCAAATTTATATGAAACTTGTCTAGTACTAAAGATGCCTTACCCTCTTTTGTTACAGACATGCAAAGCCTTTCTTCCAGCCATGATTGCATGCAACCAGGGACATTTGGTTACTATCGCAAGTGTAGCAGCACTGTGTGGCTGCTTTAAACTCACAGGTTAGTAAGGCATATACATATTTATTGTCCATGTATTATTTAAGCATAGATTCAGGGTAACTGCATTCTTGCATTTTAATTTGTGGCTGGCCAATAACAGCCGAGTCAATGCTACATCTCTTCATGAATCCAATCACCTTCCAGATTAAAGGTCTTGGAAGTTTTTCAAGATTATTCTTCCCGGTTTTGTTTTATATGGAGACAGTGGTTCTAAAAGATTTTGATCTTATGTGTAACTCAGCTTTACTCTTGTCTCGGGCTTCCCCATTACTTCTGAGCTGACAGAGTATTTGTTTTTAACTTTATGACCTTGGCAAATAAATCTGTCAGTAGAAATCTCTGTTGGCAGAATGTGACACTAGAAGATAATTTAAAGAGGAGTAAGGGTAAGTCTGTTAGGAGAGGCTAGCTTTATTTAGTTATTTAGCATGCAATTTTCTCTCAGTATAAGTCTTAGGCTGCTTTACAAATGCTGAAACAAGAAAAGCCAAAAACATGGTTTAAATCACAAGTCAATTAAAATACTCTTCATTCATAGAATAATTTGAAAAGATGAATAATATTTAAAAAAATACAGCTCAACCCATAGCAATGGTTTCCCGTGACACATTCATCATTAAACACTTCTTTGAAGACAAAAGATTTTTGCTTGCATGAGAAAGGAGAGCAGAAAAGCTGAAAGAAGCCACTGAGGATGTTTCTACTCTGTAGAATTAATGCAGTTTAGCACCCCTTTTCTTATCCTCGCCAAATGGACTTATGATAGTGTGAGAGAGTAAAAGGACAGATGGTGTGTAAGAGACTAATACTAGATTTAAAAGGAAAACATGGCATATTATAGTTTGAAAAATATTTAACCCCATTAGAAAAAGCAGTTTTGGAAAACTTAAAGAACAGACAGCAATAAATTACTTGAAAACAAAGTGCTAAAGGGGGTTAAAGGGAACGTTTTCTTTGTTTGTATTAGCACCGGAAAGCAATGCCTGATCATATTGCAAGATGCCTTCAGAAATGAATGGAAAAAAGTCATATGCAACCAAAAGTTTAAACAAGATCATAACAAAAAAGAGAACAAATGTGACCTCTGCTGGCAAAGAAAGGAAGTTATAAAGGGGAAAATGTTTTTAAATAAAGGCTAGTAGCCAGCAGAAAGCAGTGATATTGGCATTTTGAAAGAGAGCAAGATCAGATTACTAGAATGCGAAGAATTTTAATGGATCAGTCTACCAACTTAACTGAAGGGAACTAAGCCATTCTGGCAGAAATTATGTTGGCAAAAGGCTTTCTGAGATAATAATTGAATTATGTAAGTAATTTGAGAAATAACATTCAAAAAGATTAAAAGAATGGAAATAAAAGTTATAAAAAGACAACAATGTAGATTTCTTCAGTGAATGGAAAGATGTTGGAAAATTGAATCATGATACAGAATGAGACTCAAGGTAAAATTTTCTGGATAAGAGAAAACAATTCACCCTGGAGAATCTATGAGATAAAATGAAAAAATGACATATGAAATCGTACAGTTGTTAAGACTAAAGGAAAAAATTAAATATGACCTGCATATGAAGTTGTCTCTCAGGCTGGATCTACATCACCCTATATCCCAGGATCTGATCGCAGATTTTCTGCTTTAAATTGGATTATATGTGTCCCCACTGCCAGATAATCTGGGATAAACATAATACCTGGGATCAGATCCTGGGATATTGGGCAGTGTAGATCCAGCCTGAGGACCCTTCCAGACAGGCCCTATATCCCAGGATCTGATCCCAGGTCTTCTGTTTATCCCAGATTATATGGCAGTGGGGACTCATATAATCCAGTTTAAAGCAGAAAATCTGCGAACAGATCCAGGGATACAGGGTTTGTTGGGAAGGGTCTCAGTTGTCTTCTGAGCAGAGAAAAACTCTGAATAGAGAAAAAGACTGTAGGAAAATGTAAAGAAGACTAACATTTGGTGATTGAGTGCTGGGTGGGGGGGATTAGGGCCCAAAAGTAATATTGGGACATTAAAAAATAAGTGACACTTAAAGTAGATTTGAGCTTTAATTATTAACATAATATTTGTTGATAAAGTAAAAATATGAAATCCTGGATCTGCCTCTTCCTCTATACTGCTTCGGTTCTCCCTGTTTATAGGTTTTCCCTTTTCCCTAATACCTTCCTTTGTATTAGTTTTTGTGTGGAGCATAAAAAGCCCCAAAGGCCAGTCTTAGTTGGTCTATTCCATTTACCTGTATAGAGCTCTTTTGCTGGACTCCTACTTTTTTCTGCAGCAGAGCTACAGTGAACAGAGGCTTGGGCATTGTCTGGTAATTCTAGGCCCAAGCAACCCAATAAAACAGGTACCCTTAGCACCTCCATTCAGCGATATTTTTATTCCACCAGTCCCAGAGATAACAGAAGCTTTTGACCAGGTTAAGCTTCACAAGAAAGAAGACTGAGACAGCTTATAAGCAACAGCTTGTAAACCATAGCTTTGCAGAAGACTCCAGAGAGATGACTGCAGACAGCAATATCTCCTTTTGTAATGTATTGTTTTAAGCTACCTTATAATACTCCCGGGTGGAGTTAACCCTTTATTCATCTTGTTTTCAGTAAACTAATTTGGTTATCTTTTCACCTTGCCTAAAGTACCTCTGTGTGTTAAGGGTCTTAATCTTAACAGAAGGTATACAGATAGCCCCCAAGTAAAGCCAAACATTATAGTTTTTCCCAAAAGCTCAGACGTGCCATCACAAAAAAGCAGAATCTTTTAGAATTATAATTGGGATCTGACCAGCCAGGAGTCATGTTTATCCCATAACTGTTTCATTTAGTTTGTTCTTATTGTTTGTGGATGTGGGTTGGGAATATTAAAGTGTGAGCTCACAGCAGCCGCTCCCAATAACGACACAGGACGCCAATCCGTAATCAATCAGGAACTTTTACTGCTGGACATTCATACACGAAGAAAGCCAGGATTGGCCGGCAGCCGCAGTTTAACCCTTATATACCCTCCCGAATTCCCCTTTCCCGCCGGCCGAGAATCCCGCGCAATATTCCCCGCCAAATGCCAACTGCTTTCCCCCAAGGCCACCAGCTGCACATTCTTATCAGCAGTCCATGTCAGGATTCTGGTTTTTTGCGCCAAGACTCAAGGCCTGGAAACCGGTTCCTGACACGACGTCCTCCTCCTCCTCCTCTTTTTCCTGGAATGGAAACACATATCACTACTATACTCCTTCTTCATCTAGCGAACCTTGGTACTTTTTCAACAAGCTACAGTGAAATGTTGGGTGTATTTTCCCCAAAACCTTCGGTAGTTGCAATGTATATGTGACATCATTGATTTTGCTGGAGATTCTAAACGGACCGATGTATTTAGGAGATAACTTCCTGGACGGGGCATTCAACTTGAGATTTTTGGTGCTCAACCATACCAAGTCCCCTTCCTCCAACCTATCTCCTTCCCTCCTTTTTCTATCCGCAAATAACTTATACTTCCGTTGGGCTTCTCTGAGTGATTTCACTACCTCCTCCCAACTCGCCCTCGCCCTGTCTGGCCACCCTTCCTTTCCCCACGGTTCCTCCTCCTCCCAACTCGGCAGCTTTGGCAAAGGGGTCACTTCCATGCCGTAGACTATTTCAAAGGGGGATTTCCCTGTGGATGCGTGACAAGCTCCATTATATGCGACTTCTGCAAATGGGATCAGGTCTGCCCAGTCGTTTTGGCAATGATTTGTGTATGTCCTTAGGAATAATCCCAACGTCTGCTGAGTGCGCTCGACCCCCCCATTGGTCATGGGATGGAATGCTGAACTCAGGGTCCTTTCTACCCCCATCATTTGCATGAACTTTTCCCAGAAACGTGCCGTAAACTGCACCCCTCGGTCACTGATCACCTGATCGGGACAGCCATGCAACCGATATATGTGTTTAATAAACAGCTCAGCCAACTTTTCCGCAGATGGCAATTTAGGCAGCGCTATGAAATGCGCCTGTTTTGAGAACAAGTCCATCACTGTCCATATGTAGCGCTGACCTCGGCTATTCGGGAGTTCACCTACAAAATCCATGGCAATCACACTCCAAGGCCTCGACGGCTCTGCCACCCTCTGCAATAACCCTGCTGGCTTTTGTGTGGGTACGTTGTTCTGTGCACATGCGTTACATCGGGATACATATGATTTTGTGTCACCCCTCATCCCGGGCCACCAACATTGGCGTGCCAGTAATTTTAGAGTTTTCGTAACTCCCCAGTGTCCTGCCCCCTTGTTATCATGGCATCTAATCATCATTTTTTCCCGCAGGCTGACTGGGATATATACCTTCTTGTTTACAAACCCCAATCCACCCTTCCATTCCACCTTTTCCTTGTTCCTCTCCAGCCATTCGTCCCCCTCGCATGCCTGTCTTATCTCCTCCTCCCATCCCCCGTTCTTGCTCTCTACCCCCACCAGTCTTTGACTGCGTTCCGCTTGTGCTCTGGTTTGCACTGCCATGCCCCACTGCCTCTCCGAGAAAATACTCCCCTTTGGGTCTTGCCCCCTCCCTTCATCCTCCGGCATACGTGACAATGTGTCTGCTACCACATTTTGTCTCCCCTTGTGAAACTTCAGCTGGAAATCGAATCTGCTGAAGAACTGCCCCCATCTTATTTGTTTCGCTGACAATCTCCTGGGTGAAGTGATATATTGTAAGTTTTTATGGTCGGTCCATACCTCAAAGGGTATGCCGCTTCCCTCTAACAGATGCCTCCATGTCTCCAGGGCCCTTAGGATTGACAGGGCCTCCTTTTCCCACACCGGCCAGTTTCGTTCAGTTTCGCTGAACTTTTTTGATATGAACCCACATGGCTTCAACCTCCCTTCCGGATCCCTTTGCATCAATGCTGCCCCATAGGCCCAATCTGATGCGTCACAATGGATCACAAATTGCTTAGTCAGATCGGGGTGGATTAGGACAGGTTCTTCTGTGAACCTGCGCTTCAGTTCCTCGAAAGCCCTCTGGCATTC